GCCAAGTTCTCATGCCAACTCATGAAGGGGCTACATTCATGTGTCAAACAAGGAAGTGGACACACACATTTAGTAAAAAGGACTTGACCTCGGGAGCTAAGTGACAAAGTCATCTTTCCATCCTGACTGGTGTCAGGTTGGATGTGTGTGGAGGAGTGCCTGAGGAGGCTCTGGACCAGACTTAGCTTCCTGGGTGAGGGGTGAGGGGAGTTGTATACGAAGCAGGAGCCTTGGCCTTTGCTTTCTAAAACTTCCAGTCTATTTGAGGAGGCCTGACTTACGCATGCCGAACATTTGGGAAATGGCACATGAAGCGGAGAGCATAGCTCTGAACTGTACATGATCAGGTGCCAACCACGTTCTCTGCTTTCACTACCAGTCTTTTAATACCAGATGGGGACCCTGAGAATAGATTTCTCGGATGATGAGCAAAGATGGAAGCCACAGGGAAGGCTGAGGCTTACTCGGTTTCATACCCATTAATGCAGCACCATGCTGCAGAAACAGCAGCAGAAACAAAAGGTGTCCACACTTGATCCTACGCTCATCTATGTATTAGGCACCTACTAAGGGCTTTGCAAGAAGTATCTCACCAACCTCACAGCAGCAGGGTGAGGGAAGTGTCCATGTGATGTGCAAGATGAAAGCAGGGCTCAGAAAAAAATACTCATTATGCCCAGCGTCACACCGCAAGGGGTGGGGTGGGGTGGTGTGGACCTGAATTCAGTTCTACCAGCTTCCGAACTCCAGACACTCCATTACTTCTGTTTGTGGTGCGAGAAATTGCCATCGACCTGATGGAAGGGAAGAAGTGAGGTGGAGGAAAGAATGAAGAATGAGGGAAGGAAAAGAGAAAGGGACAAAGAAAGGTAAGGTGGACAAGGGAGGAATGAAGTAAGGGAGGAAAGAAAGGGAAGAGAGCGGGAGAACAGATAGAGGAGAAAGGGAGAACAGGCTTTATGTTAAGTATGATCAGACAAGCACTCGCACGCTTTCTTTCCCAGGATCCCCACAGACCTCTGACCACCTTACCCCCTTCCTCTGAACAACCTCAGAGGAATGAGCTAAAGGAGTACTATTTAGAAGTTCGTGTCTGAGGGCAAGCCTTGCTTCCTGAGCATTCTGAGAGTGTAGTCTGAGCATGCTCAAGGTGACTCAGGCAGTAAGGACCTGTCTGTCCCACGCAGTTGCAGACACGGAAGTCCACAGTGAAGAGCTGAAGTGTGGTGAGGTTGCTGTCCTTGATCACAAATGGCCTATGCACACCCATCTGTGAGCATGTTGAGGACATGGAGCGGGCATGGTATTGTTTCCTTAAAAGAGAAAGTCTATAAAACCAGAGTTCTACCCTTCTGCCCTCATTTAACCTTGAGACTCCAAATGCAGCCAGGCTAGGGATTACGGCTTTAAGGTAACAAATATGGGGTACACAAAACTTTAGTTAGTACTAGGATAGATGAGAGAGGAGTCAAGAGCTGGACACGGGACACAAACAAGCAAGCTCAGCTGCAGAGTAGAGGGATGTGCAGCTCAGGTAGGGGCAGGTAGGGTGAGTCTCATGGTAGCCAGCACTTCCTGTTAGAAACTACAGGACAAATAACTCCTGCAGCCAGGGTGACTGACGGTGTGCTTCTTAGGAAGTCCCTGCACTCCCTCTCCACATAATCTGCTGCTGTTGTGCAAGTTCCCAAGAGGCAGGACAGGGGGCTCCTCCCTTCTCTCTTCTTCCTTGTGTTCTTCTCCATGTATTCCTCAGCCTTCTTTGTGAGCATCTCCCTTGTGATGATGCTCTTCTGTTGCACAGTGTGTGTGGTATGTGCTGCTTTATCTGCAGGTAATAGCTACCCCTTCGAGTAATATAGACAATAAATGGGCTATTGTGAGGTGTAACTGTTTGGTTGAGGGCAGATATGCCAACAACAGTTGTTGAATGAGTGAGTGAGAGAGGGAGTGAGTGAGTGAATCTGCACTTGAGAAGAGTGTGCTTCTTAAGTAATCAAGAATAATCTATCAGTCATCGATTTTTATTAAATAAGTGACCACTGAGTGCGGTAGTTTGAATGAGAGCAGCCCCTATAAGGGGCCATTAGTTGGTTCCTTGTTGTGGGACTTTAAAGTTTAGGACGTGTGGCCTTGTTGGAGGTGTGTCGCTGGGGATGGGCTTTGAGGTTTCAAAAGTCAGATTAGCTGTCTTTGTGCATAAGACTGTAAGAACTTAGCTACTTCTCCAATACCATACCTGCCTGCCTGCCTGCCTGCCAAGCTCCCTGGCCTGAAAGGCATGGACTCCCCCTCTGAAACTGTAAGCAATTCCCCAGTAAACTCTTTCTTCTAATAGTTGCCTTGGTCATGGTATCTCTTCACAGTGATTGAGAAGTAACTAAGACCCTGGGAGGAGAAGGCACCCTTTTCCTTCCTCTCCCCTTTCCACAGATTGACTCCACTTGCGTCGGACCAGCAGCTGAACAGATAGGTAATACTAAAGCAGTGTGTAGGGAAAGCCAGACAGAAAAAAAAAAAAAAAAAAAAAAAAAAAAGACAATGGGATCAAAGGTTGTAAGGTTGGAAAAGAAGCCTTAAGTGCCATGGAAACGCCAAAGGCTGGGGGCCAGGAGAGGCTCCTGGTGGAGATGCAAGAGCCTGTGTGGCTAGCTTCCGCAAAGCACAACCAATACACAGCGAGAACGGTGGAACAAGCCAGGCTACTTCATATTGTATGAATATTCATACTGTATGTACTTCATATTGTATGTACAAAAGGCTCAGCCGCTGGCACTTCACGTTGGTGACTTCATGCTATTCTCACAGCTCAGAGGCAAAGGAATGCAACACCTCTAGAGGAATTTACCCATGCCTGTAACGCAGAGAGGTTCCTCTGTAGGCTGCTTCATTGGAGGGCTGTAGCTAGGAAATGAGAGTAGCACCTTGGCCACCTTCCAAATATTACCCTGCTTATGAGCACTGAGATCATGTGACTAACAGAGCCAGGAGGAGCAGTTTGGTAGGGCATCCCTGAGAAAGCAGCAAAGACCCCTGAGGCAGTACTATGTTCTCCTCAACAAGGAGCCCTCCTCTGTTCCCTGAGTCACACTAGTGATCTTCTAGGAACCCAGACTTTAGTCCTTCCTCCACCTCTTATGTTCATCATCACCCAGCGTTCCAGGAGAAGAGACTCAGGTGAGCCTGAAACATTTGGTGGAGAGCTGAGCTTTGCATTGGCTCCTTTCAGCCCAGAGGCCTCCTAGTGCCCTCATCTGCCAACAAGAATGACCCTGGGATGAATATGACAGAGACATGAATAATGAACTCTAACTCCAACTTCTGGCTCGACAACTTCAGACAAGTCCCTCATTCTAGACAAGCCTCAGTTTCTCTCCAGGGAAATGGCAGCCCTGAACCAACTAGTCTATGGGGCTTTTGTGGGTATCACAAAAGGGTGATGTGGTTTCACAGCAGTGGACCATGCAAACGAAGGAGCAGACAGCACTGAGCGCACTTTCCCAGCTGCGTGTATAGGACGCATGTCGGGATCTGGACAGTTGTTAAGTGCTGCCGAGGTGAAGTACCCTATTCCGAGTCCCTGAGCCAAGTTACAGGCCATGTGGGGCCCTGAAGGGCAACTAATGGGTGGGATGAAGAGAGAGAGCTCCTCACTGGTCCTATATGCCTGGAGTTAAGTGTACTCCTGTATGCAGAAGTTCATGTGTATAAGAGCCAATGGTCTTTTTGCACCGTGTGCACATATGAGGGTCCTGGCTGAGGTTTTACAGATGCTCCCCCATGTGTGTGTTGTGGTTTGGAGTCTGTGTGCAGCATCATGTCTGCGTGGGCTTGAGGGACCTGTGCCCATATGTTCATGGTAGTATGTATATATATGTGTGTGTGTGTGTATTTATGAAGCCATATGTTGAGGGATGCTGTGAGCTCCAAACACAGCGTGTGTCTGTGTGATGCAAAGGACACAACTGGATGGAGGTCTGGGAGCGGTATGGGTCAGGAATTGTCAGTGCAAACGCATGTGGAATTAATTCTCTGTGCAGACAGGGGAGACAGGCAGTGGGGCTGGAGAAAAGGGAATGTCTGAGCTTCTAGGGACACTCCTGTCACCAGCTGCCACCAGGAGGTGAGGCCACAGGTTCCCAGGAGTTGCCTTATCATTGGAAAGCTGAAATGGAGCTTGAGGATCCTTGTCACCTGAGGGGGGAGGGCACACGGAAGGGAGACTGCTTTCTAAATTCAAGGGTTACCCCCAGCTGGGGTACTAACTCAAGAACTACCCACAGATGAATGTTCTGCAAGCAAGAGAACAGAGGAGGTTAGGGAGAGGGAGAGGAGAGGGCGAGGGGCAGCAAGGGCCTAAGGGGGACCCCCGCACCTACTTCCTTCTCCCCACTTCCTGTCACTAGAAATGAGCCCTGGTCCTGGGGGATTTTGCAGGTCCCCAACACCTCCTACAGAGTTCAGGGGACCCCTTCTTCCTGATGACAACCCTTTCTGGGTGGGGCACACTTTCCCCCACCCCAGGAAGGCAGGCAGTGGTTAAATGTGATTTTTCTCTGAAGTCAAATGAAATCTTAACACTCTCCATCATGTACACACACACACCCTCACACACACACACACACACACACACACACACACATATTCACGTTCATCCTGGGGGCCACCTGCTGCCCACTTCCCACGCTGCATCCACCAGCCAGGTGCCCAAGAGGGCATCCCCGTGTCCCACACAGCCGGGGGAAGTACAGTGCAGACAGCCCCCCCCCCAGCCCCTCTTCGGTCCTCAAGGGTGCTTCCGCTCCCCCAACCCCCTCCCCACCCGGTGCGTAGCCCGACTCCGCTCCGCGCCAGTCCCCGGCGCCGTTCATTCATGATTGGTACTCGGCCCCCTGAGACCCAGCCCGAGCGCGGGGCGGAGCGGCCGGGCCGCTGCAGGGGCGGGCGGAGCGCGGCTCCCGCACCGCACGCGGCGCGGGCTCGGCAGCCTCGGCCGGGCGGGCGCGCCGGCCCCGTGTCCAGCATCAGGCAGGCTTCGGGGCTCGGGGTTTGGCCCTCGCTGAGGCCAGTGGCCCGACTAGGTGTCCGCCAGGGGGGCCGCCCGCGAAGGCTCCCGCGAGCCGCTGGCCCTGGGAGTCAGTTCATGTGCCCGGCTGAAGACGGCAGCAGCTACAAGCTCCAGGCGCCCCGGCCCCACGCTCTCTGAATACCAAGCTGCAGGCAAGCTGCCCGGGGCTTTTTTCTTTCTTTCTTTCTTTCTTTTTTGCTTTCTTGCTTTTTTTTTTCTCTCCTTCCATTCAGAGTGGACAATCCACACCGATTTGTTTTCAGGGGAGGGGAGAGGAGACAGGGCCTGGGGTCCCAAGTCGCACACAAGTCTTCGCTGCCATGGGGGCTGTCATGGGCACCTTCTCGTCCCTGCAGACTAAACAAAGGCGACCCTCTAAAGGTAAGCTCTCTGCCCTCACTTTGCTAGCCCTAATAGCTCTGGGGGTATTGGGTGTTGTGCTGGGGTGAAATGCCTGTCTCCCATAGTTCTAAATTCACTGTCCATGAAGGTTCTGGACAGCCTCTTCTATCCAAGGGAGTAAGATCCTCGTGGGAGGGTTGGTGTGAGAGCCCAGGGGCAGCAGCCAAAGTGGGAGCTGGGCTCCAGCAGCGGTGTGTGTACCCTTCTCTTCTAGGGAGCAAGACCAGGCAGATTCACAGGTGGGGAAAACCGCCTGCTCTGGGCTGGGCGGAAATGTTGGGAGGCTCTTCCCGCTCCCATGAGGGCTGACGTTGGTGCAACCTCAAGCATCCAGCAAGGGTGCTCATACTCGTGCATGCCTCCCTGGGAACGGCCATGCCTTACCAGGTGTTGACCTGGGAGCCTAACCATGAGGGAGACAGTGATTCGGCTGTCCACCCTTAAAGCAGAGCTCTGCAAGCCGAAAGGAATCAGCTACATCCAGGTGGTAGAACCCCCAGGCGCAGGTCCTGGGACTCGGGAGTCTGTAGAAAAGAGCACACAACACACACAACACGGCTGTTCTGCTAAGGTCTGAGAAGTTCAGGGGGACAGGGAGAACTGTAAAGAGGTTGCTGGGGTGCAAAGCTCACATATCCTGGGATCCCCCGGTCAAGAGCCTGCTCCACAGCTGCCTGTCTCCAGTTGCGGCATGCCCATCACCATTGGGACAGTTGTCAGATGTCGGGTGACCTTGTTGGGCCAAGGCACACAATGCAGGCCTCTTTTTCAACAGGCAGAAAGTTGCTTATAGAGATGAAGAGATTGGAAACAATCAGGAGAAGAGATAATGACAAGCTTGGTTTGCTTAATGCTCAAACGCCATTGCAGATAGTAGAAGGTTTCTAAATAGTTTCACACTTAAATGTCCAAGTTCTGATATTTCACATATTCTGACTACAGGTGGGGAGGGACAGTACACACCTTAATGCTGGCTGGTGACCAGAGCTGTGTTAGGGTGATAGATGGCCCTAGTACATAGAAATACCCAGGAAGAAAGGGTCCTCAGAGAGAAGCTGGCTGAGGACCACGGAAAGACATCTGCAGGTGCAGGGCCCAGGTGATGAGGTCAGGCTTGCACAGCAGACAAGAAGCGGAAGGGGCTTCTGCCTGTTTGCTCAGTTCTGTGCCCTGCAGGGAAGGCATTGGTTCCTTCCAGCAGCCCAGAGAAAGGCACATCTGCAAAACATGTCCCAGGGTCTTGGTGCTCTGAGTTCTTCCTCTCCTGGATCCCGAGGTGCTCCTTAACTGGGACGGTATTCAGCACCAAGTCCAAGTCAGCTCCCCCATCCTTCATCTTAACAACATGAGGTCCCACTGGCCACAGAAGAGACCCTAGTACACAATTAGCTTGGGTTTCTTTAAAATTACCTATGATGCCTGTATCTCCTTGAGAGGCATCACAGAGAGGTCAATGTCTCCATAATCTAGTGGAGTGTAAGGGAGAATCTCAGCCCTATCACTTCAGCCTTGGACCTCGGGCAAACGTCACTTCCTCTAAGCCTCAGTTTTCAGATCCAGCAAATGGATGAGAATGCCGCCTTTCATGAGAAGCGGGGAGAACATGGAGGAAGGGAGTACCTCATCTCATATATTCTAAGAGCGAAAGGATGGCGATGCATAGAGCTGTAGGGTTCAGATATTACCATCTACCATTCCAGTCTCTCACTGCCAAATCCAGATCACCTGGGGACAGTTCCTGCAGGATTCCAGAGACCACAGCACTCTCCTTCTCTCTCCCTGGAACTTAAGAAAAACGAGAGTGAATCGACGCACACTGTGCCTGGCACAGTGTTTTATCTGCATATTCTTATTTGAGCTTTATAAGCGTGTCTAGGTTCACTGGGTGGGTCCCCAAGCTAACTCCTTCTACTCAGAGCAGTAGAGTTTAGCCTGAACTGTCCACAAGGGCAACAAAATACCTCCCTAACCCAGTGAGTCCAGCCTCACTTTCTTGTCCATCACAGTGCAAATCAGTACAGGATCCTCCTAAGGGGAGAAGCTTAGGAATAGGGGAGCTTAGGGACACTGACAGGGCTCTACTGGGAGGCTCACAATCAGGCATCCTATCCTGCTCTGGTCACTTTCTCCTTTACTGTTTGATCTCTGTAAAGAGGAGGCATTTTACTGGACATTTTTTTCAGGTTCCATTTGGCATTTGGTCCTTGGATTCTAAAGCTTTTTTTTTTTGTGCTGCTGAAGGGACCGCTGCTCTGATCTCTGAGATGTCAGGCTCAAATCTAATTAGATGCAGTCAGAAGAGGATGGTGGGCATTTTCAACAGAAGAATCTGTCCCCTGCTGGGTTCAAATCCAGGCTCCACCATGCACTTAGCTGTATGACTAAGCCTTATTTTCTTCCACTGTGAATCAGGGACAGTAGTAGTTATCATCTTAAAATAGCTATATGTGTTTCGGAGATGATGGAAGGCAAGTGCTTTGCACAGACCCTGGATGTAATCAGTGGTCAGCAACTTTTAGGTCCTGTTCAGTGTAGGGCTGCACTGCTTAGGCCATCTGAATGCCCAGAATAAGGGTATCCTGCAAGTAGGTGATATTGTTGAGAGTCATACAGCTTATTTCTGGAACGCTTTTCAAGCCCTCTACAGATAAGGAGCACCAAAACCCAGGCACTAGGATGCTGAGCCTTTGCTGCTGCCTACTAACCCTCTGCACTGTGGCTGATCCTAGAAACATCACAGCTGACTCAGCTACAGCTCCAAGTGCTTAGAAACAAAACTCAGAAATACATGCACATCTATAAAAACAGGACAGCAATTCTATGTGCTTAGAGCTGGGAAAAGAAGTCACCTAGCCCAACCTCAAGCCCAGGGAGCACTCCCTGAAGGCGGTGGAAATCTAAAGTAATTTAAGAGCCTTGCCACAGAACAAAAACATAGAGTTCACTTTCTGTCATCTGTTTGGAATCTTGGTGTGTCTTTAATGAAAATGGGAAAAACCTTGCCTGCGGGTTACAGGCGCTGTCCTCAGTCCTAGGTAGAGGTTTTTGATTTTTGTTTTTTGTTGTTGTTGTTGTTGTTTTGTTTTTTTTTAGACTGTTTCATGTGTGCTTTTTCTTTCAAAGACTCTGCTCTTAGGCTTGAATATGTGAGTGGGGATGGCTATGGTGTGAAGGCTAAGCAAAGAAGGAGCACGCAGGTACAGCTGCAGGCTTCATGGGACTCAGGAGACTTCAGGAAAATGCTAGACCAGCTCCTTATTACAGAGACTTGCCTATAAGCAAACAGCCCATGTTGCTTAGGTGGCTGAGTTCCCACTTCTTGACAACCAAGCGCAATATTCAGAACTTTGAGAGGCTGAGCTTTAGACCTCCATGGTGCCCACTGATTCACTGAGATATCCCATGGATATCAGATGAATTTTACCAGGTAACATGGCAAAATAGAATCAAACATGAGACTAATCTTGTGGGTTAAAAATTGGAGATACCATTGGAAAATTGTGGAGGCTTCGAATTCCTGATGAGCCTAGCCTTGAAGTTGGTGGATAGGGTGTTATGTTAATCCTAGAGAGCCTTGGGAGGCACCGATGGGCAGAGAGTCTTGAGGAAGTGGTGGTCCCAAATCACACCAGCCTAGGCTCAGAGACCATTGGCAAATTACTTTGCCTTAGAAATACCCTTTTCATCACCTGTGAAATGGGAGCACCAACCAATAGACATGTGTGACCATAGGCTTTTTCCCTCTCAGCATCTCTGTTCATCATTTAAGCTCTGTAAGCCAATCCCTATCTCACCTACTAATTCAAATTCTACCCACATTCCAAGAACTTGCTCAGCTGTTTCTATATTCAAGAAGTCTTCTTCAAGCCCCAGAGAGAAGTGACTTCTCCCATCTGAATTCGTAACATTTTTTAAGGCGTACACTCTCCTGACTCACAAATCATGTTTGGAATCAGTCAATGGAAGTATTAACCCTCACCGTGACTGTTTCATAGTCATGAATGTGTCTGAGTCATTCTTCACAGTCCCTGGCTTGGTTCTTTGCACCTAGTAGGTACTCAGCAAAAGGTTTTCAATAGAACCTATAAACAGTGAGATGGTTGGTCCCTCATCATGATTCGTAAGAATGGCAGTCCCCCTAGGAAAAGTTAGCTTACCCACTGGAATTTTCAGCTACTAGTTCCTCTGCCTGAATGAGTTCTGTTATTTGGTCTGTTGGTTTTGAATTGGCTTTGTCTGTGAGGTGTACTGAATCTGTTTACCATTTAGAAGGAGGTGCCAAGAACAGTGTTTCTACTTCCCAACTCCCGAAATTCACTGGATTTGTGGTAAAGAGACATGCTGCTTGAAATCAGAGGTGCTCTCAGTCTGGTTCCAGGAACAGGACCAAGACTAAGATCCCTTTGTCTACCTAGAAGGGCTCTGCTCAGGAAATGTGTGAGGGAGGGAGTGCATTCCCTCATAGATGAGTGAATGATGGATGATTGCACAAATAAGAGCATCGATAAACGAGAACAATGAATGAAGAAGTAAGTGAATAATCAAATGAATGGCAGAGGATGATTGAATGAGTGGGTATGTGATTAAATGACTGAATCCATAAATAATGAGTGAATGAATGAATGAATGAATGAATGAATGAATGATGAAGTCCTGGAAAAACTGTAGCAGAAGACTATCTTTTTATGAAGAACAGTAATGGTTCTGCTGCATGGTTCCTGTACCTAAGCATTTGTCTCAGCTCATGGCTGCTGCTAACGACGCAAGACCACAGAAGAGTGATTTAAAAGAAAAAAAAGGCTTATTTTGGTCTGCAGCTCTAGAGGTCAGAGGCTGAAGTAGCCCGTGTGGTGACATCTTGCTGGCAGAGTCCTGAAGCACACAGGGCATCCCGGGGCGAGAGGTACCCCTGGAGTTTCCTTTCTTCTTTAAAGCCCCCAGCACTCAGTGATGGAGCTCCACTCTGAAGACCTTATTGA